GCTAGCTGGAAATTTGTTTGAAATGCAAATTCTTGGGTTCCACCCCAGACCCACTGAATCAGAGACTCTGGAAGTACCGGCAATTAATAATGTATATTTTAACAAGCCTTTCAAGTGATTCTGACACAGGCTAAAAGTTCGAGAGCCATGATTTCAAATCATACTGTACATTTAAAAAATCACTTAGGAATAGTAAGTGTGTATCTTGTCCTTCCAACAGAATTACTAGCCCTTCGGGGCTGTCTCTGACTGTACGTACCCCACGTTGCTTCTCTCACAGTTGTGAGCAGCTAGTCTTATTGCTTACATAGACAAACAAACAAGCAAATGAGTACTTACTGCTTTAGCAGGCTAGAATCTAGAGGTCTGTACTGGATACACGTGGCCTTTCATTAGGTTTTATTTTGTCTGCCCATGAATACTATGAACTAATTGCCAACATTAAAAACCTAGAGTGCAGAGTTTCCTTGAAAAAATGGCAAGATCTGTCAATCACTGGACCCAAAATTCCACACAGCAGCAATCGCTGATGGATGGCTGTCTCTGAGGTGGGGCGTGAGGATCCCAGTTGGCCACAGTGCTCACCATTCCCTGATGCCTCCCCGACACTGGGGCTTTATGCAGAGCAACCTCGCCCATTTCTATCGCCTCTCTGGCCCTTAAAAACGTTTAGATCTAAACCACGCTGGAGGGAGGGAGCCAGATGGAAAAAGGCATCACTATCCACAGCCTGAAATACTCAGTTGTGTCTGAGCAGCAAGCTTAGAAATGGAATTGCAGAAGCCAGTGTCTCTGATTAGCACCGGCATTGAGTTCTGAGAGTTTAGCTTCACGTTTGATCAGGTAACAGGGCAAGTTACGAAACGATTACAGCTCCGGAGACCAGAGCCCCGCAGAGCTTGCCTGGGCAACAACGCGTGGGTGAGCTGCAACACGGCACAGAGGCTTTGTCTCCGCACGGCCCCGGGAACAATGGATGTGGAGGTTGTGATTTTGAAACACCACGCATGCCTCCTTCATGTACATGCGATGCTGAGCTCCAGTGTCAGCTGTCAGGAGTACTGCCCAGGGAAAACGTCATTCTTTCAAACTACTCTCAGGGCTTCCACAGAATTTAAAGGGCAGATCCTGGACTAGATTTGACAATTATGCCTGTAATGCAGACGCCAAGTACGTTTTGTACAAAGGACAGAAAATATACCACTTCTGAGCCTCACCCAGGACACGGGGAGCAGTTCACGAAAAAGCGAGCGGAGTGGTGGTCTGAGGTCTTTATCTTGGCGGTGAGGACGGGCCTGGAGTTCAGAGGCGAGAGCTCACACAACAGTGGAGACGGGCACATGTTCTCAAAGAGGGAACAAGCTTCGTTATTAAGACCCAGGAAGCTATAGTTGCTGTCGAGTTCATCCCAAAGCAACACATCAGAAAAATACATCTACTCCAAGATCATTGAGCCAGAAGATACAGATAAATGGCCACTATAATGTCACTGGGCTATTTTTTGACAAATTCTTAAATTTTATTTTCTCCTTAACCACCACTGTACTTCAGCATTCTTAAGAGAGAGAGAAAAAAAAGAGAGATGGAATATGCCACTGATGAGTAAGTCTTCCTTTAAAGCCGTTAGAATTTAGAACTGTAGGTGGAAATGGGGTCCTACGGAAAGTGACATTCATAGGTGATCTAATAATAAAATCCTAATTGGGCAGGTCACAGTGGGTTCACACCCCAGACCTAGAGTTTCTTTAGTAAAAGGTTTACTTTTGCCTTAAGCAAGTCCTGTCCATTGCTTTTATTCATCTAGGTTAACACACCTTGAAATAAGCGTAACCACCCTCAAGAGAGCACGTAATCTTCCTGTGGGGAAGGGGCCACATCATAAGGTCCCTCCTGCCCCTTCTAATAGCTGTTCTTGGTGAGTTTGCTCAACTTTTACTCAAGATCACCACACAATGAGCTATGTAATGCTGTGAGCCACTATGCACCTACGAGAATGGTTGTTACTATTAGAAACAAATACTGATAATACTGAGTGCTGGTGGAGCACTGGGACGCACATCCTTTGCTGGAGAGACTGAAAAATGGTGCAGCCACTTTAGAAAATAGTTTGGCTGTGTCTTAGAAAGTTATACACACACTTACCACATGACTCAGCAATTTACTCCCAGGCATTTACCCCAAGGCAACGAAAACTTGAGTTCACACACGAATCTGTATGTGAATGTTTACAGCAGCTTTACTAATGATCGCCAAACACCAGTAACAACCCAAATGTCCTTCAGCAGATAAACAAACATCACGCAGTGGAATACTATTCAGGAATAAAAAGGAGCAAAGAACTCATGAGTAAATCTCAAAAGCATTATGCTGAGTGAAAGAGCCCATCTCAAAAAACCGTATACTGTATAAATCGACTTATTTGACATTTTCGAAAAGACAAAGGGATGGAGAATAGAATAGCTCAGTGATTGCCTGGGGGGTGGGGCTGGAGGTGGAGGGTGAGTGTGACTACAAATGGATTAGTGCAAGGGAGTTAGGGGGTGATGGGACTGTTCTGAATCCTGACTTGGGTGATAGTTACATGAATTTACGTGTTAACTTCCAAGGACTTGTACAGCCCTCCTCCAACATCAAGTTTATTGTATGATCATTTAAATATTTATTTATTTTTTAATCCTCATCCGAGGTCATTTTTGCATTTATCTTCAGATAGAGCAGGAGGAAGAGAGGGAGGATGAGAGAGAGAGAGAGAGAAACATCGATGTGAGAGAGATACATGAACTGGCTGCCACCCACACGACCCCAACTGGGGCCAGGGACAAACTGTAACTGAGGTACGTGCCCATAGCAGAAACAGAACCCGGGTTTCTCTGGTCTGAGGGCCGATGCTCTAACCACTGAGCCAAACCAGCCTGGGGATTTTAAATATTTTTTAAATTAAATGGGAAAAATGATTGTATGTCACCCAACTTACACATAGGATAAATGCACATAAGAAAAAATATCTCTGGAATGGGGTCAACAGAAGCTGGATCCATAACGTATACCCGCAGGTGGGAACAAGGAAGGCAGTGACTCACAGGCATCTTGTGTCCAGTTTGGTAGGTAAAGAGGGTAAATGACATTCTTGAGTCACTGGGCATAACATGATAATTCTCTGAAAAGGCAAAACATTTGTGATCTGTAATGTTTCTTTCCTGGGAACTTTGTGTTCGTGGTCTCTTAAAATAGCCTCAAGGGAGGAAATTTAGACTTAGGGGTGGTAAAGGATTTATCCCGATCTTGATCTCAGTTCAGTCTGGTTCCCTGGTGGCCACATAAAGCCACAGCATGGATCACACCGTGGTTCCTCTGTTCTCTCTGTACCTTGCTTGAGCAGGCCCCTTAGTGCTCAGTGCTCTTAAAGTCCTACCCTTCCTTTATTTTTAATCCTCACTCGAGGAAGTTTTTCCATTTATCTTCAGATAGAGTGGGAGGGAGAGAGAGAGAAAGAGGAACATCGATGTGTGAGGGACACATCAACTGGTTGCCTCCTGCATGACCCTGACCAGGGCCGGGGGTGAATCACAACCAAGGTACATGCCTGTGGCCGTATTCAAACCCACAACTCTTTGGTCTTCAGGCTGACGTTCTTACCACTGAGCCAAACTAGCCAGGGCTCCTGCTCTTTCTTTAGAGCAGGGATTGGGAAAGGGGAGGTGATTTTTGTCCCCAAGGGACATGTGGCGATGTCTAGAGACATTTTTGGTGGTCACAGCTGGAGGGGGAAATGCTACCAGCATCTGGAGGTAGAAACCAGAGATGCTGCTAAACATCCTACAACGTACAGGATGGCCCCCGGCAAAAGTAATTATCCAGCCCCAAACGTCACCAGCACAGAGGTTGTGACCTTCTTGGTTTAAAGGAATGAAGAAAGATATGTATTAAACATATCCATGAATCAGACACTGTCCTAGGTATTATTAACCCCAATTTACAGTTCAGAAAGTTGTTGCTCAGACCCATAAAGCAATGTGCCCAAACCCCAGTGATGAGACAAGAAGCTGTGGGTGCCCCAGGATGTCGTGATTGCACAAAGCACAGAGTGCCTGCAATGTGGTGCCCTGGGGTGGGCTGGACCCTCCATTAATGTCCCTCACTTCCATCTCCCCTGGTCGCAAAAATCACCTCTTAGCCCTAGGAGATCTGCAAACAAGGGGAGCTGTGGAGCTGGCAGAAGGGAAAATGTGAATTCGAGAGGCTCTTAGGAACTGAGTGGGGCCTGTTATCAGTAAGAACTACCCAGGATTGGTCGTCACCAGACTTCTTTTGCACCATCCATTCCTCTGCCCGAAGGACACTCATGTCTCTCCTCCCTCCAAACAGCCCAGAGACTTCCCCAGCAATCCTTCCAGGACAGCGTCTGCTCCTCTCCCGCCAGCCTGCGCCATGGGACTGGTCACTAGGGGTGGGGCACTCAGACAGCAGCCAGGACAGGGAGACAGTCCCAGAACAACTGCTGCCATGTTTCCCACAATGACATCTGACGGGCAGGATGTGGCTCAGACACTAAGCAAACCACTTTAAAACAAGTTTCATAATCACCTCTGAGCGACTCTGGTTCGATTTTACCCTTTCATATAATGAGTGCTGACAGGCCCAGAGTGGAGATGGATGAGTGTGTGCACAAGATGGAGGGGGGAGGGCAGACGAGAGGACAGCAGGAAAGAAAAGAAAGAAGTGGAGGACATATGCTCACAAGCATAAAACTCAGACAACGACCTCATGAAAAGCAAAGAACCCGAAGACCTCCTTGCAAATCAGGTGGGAGCACGGGAGTGGTCTTCAAAACTCCTCCAGATAACTGCAGCTCGGCCTCTGGGCAGGCAACACACCCTAGTCCCCGACCCTGGCAGAGCAGGTCAACAGCTCCTGCCCAGGCTGGGGGCTGGCCCCGCGCCCCGCCCCGCGCCCCGCCCCTCGCCTCCCCTCCAGCCCCGCAGCCCGTGGACCGCACTCACAGCTCCAAAATCAGGATGACATCGGTCTTGCTCTCGTAGACCTCGTGCAGGGTGATGACGTTGGGGTGCTGGATCTCCTTCAGGATGCTGACCTCGCGCTCGATGTCCTCGCGGCTCACGCCCCGCCGGCTGGATTTCGTCCTCCGCTTCTTGATGAACTTGGCGGCGTACTGCAGGCCGGTGCTCTTCTCGCGGCATTTCTTCACCACGGCAAACTGCCCGCTGCAGGGAGGAGAGGAGGCCCGGCTCACCGATCCGTTCTCTCTGTCCGCGAGAAATCACGGCTCGAGCAAGGGCGTGCCATGGGGAAGGGGCGCCCAGGGAACGTGGAGTAGGAAAGTCCAAATTGTGGGCAATTGACACAGTAAGGAGGGATATTTCTTACTACGTTTCAGTTTCATTAAGCCAGTTTCTTTATGAACACTGTTGAAAGGGATACAAACCATTTTCTTGAATGATACTTTGTTGAATGGGCAATAATACCTCCACTTCTGTGCTGGTCCCTTCCCTCCCATTTCAGATTCGGGGACAGCGGGAAGGGGCTCCTGGGTCACCTCACTTCCAACAAATTCTTTTCCTTGTGTGTGTAGGAAACCAAAAGTTGGAAACCAGGGAATTGGTAGAAAAATATGTAGAGCTCTTACTCTGATGACATATTTCTTGCAGTAATATTTATCAATGGAAACACTCAGAACAACAACAACAAAAAAGTGATATATTTTTCACACGTTGGGAACTGATAAGCCCTAGGTACTAGGCATCTGCTGGTTGCTTCTCCAGCAGCACCACCCTCCTCTTCCCTTTCCAATACCTGTATCTAGGGATTTTTGTGGTTCTGGGAAGCTGACTCCACCCACAACTATAGATAGAGATCATGTAACCTAGGCTAAGCCAATTTAATGCACTAGATTCTCCTGGCTCCAGTGATAGGTACATGACCTAACTAAGACCTTCCAGAGAGTGTTTAGACCTTTTCTGAGACTCTTTGATTCCCCAAAGCTGCTGCCAGATACCTTGGGATCATGCGGGGAGCCACTCTTGGTTTAAAGCCAATCACACAGCAGAGACAGAGCCAGTAGAAGAAACTAGGTCTGTGGCTAGATTAACCCTAACTTGAAGCCACCTGTCTTTGGATTTGTCAGCAACATAGGCCAATACATTCCCTTTACTGCTAATGTCAGTCTGATTTGTGTTTTCTATTTCTTGCAGAGGAAAGCATCCTATCCATCCCATGCTACAGCAGAGCCTCCTATGCATATATAAAAGAATATAATAAAGTAACTTGACACACAATAAAAGGTGACTGCATAAGTGGGTGAGATAGTGAGAGATAAGTAGGCTACCCTGAATGTAAGTGAAACAACAGAAAGATACTTCCTCTATCGACCCTCACTCCTTCTCTAGTGTCAAGACAGGGTCGATCCAATCATCACAGGATCTGTACATCTCTTGGCACCAGCTGGAGAACTGCTATGTAGAGCATTAGCACAGTTATCTTTAGTTAACTTTATTCTCTTCACATGAAGATAAAGGGGGGAGAGAAAATCAAATTAAGGGTAATATTTTGATGCTAAAGAATGGATACTTTAAAATGTTACGCATTTACTTTAACAGCAGGAGGCCAGTGAAGAAAAGACATAGAGTGAAGGATTATTTTTTCAGCAGTGTCAAATTTTTTACATGACAGGTTATTAATACCCTCTTTCCCCCTGCAGCAGGAGAGCAGAGAAGTTGAAGAATAAATCACACCGGAATGCTAGCACCGAATGCCTGTAAACTCATGACCTTAAAGAGCCAGGGGATCTGTTACGACTTTATTACAACCATTTTCTAATTTCTCTGGGGACTGAAGACTGGGCTTTCTGTCGATTGAGGGGTTGGGGGTGGGAAGCAGAGATGGGGTTTATGGAGAGAAGGAACACATCCCTACTCCTCACAAAGACAGTCTCGTGCTTCCAGGACGGAGAGGAGGCCGTGTACACTGTGCCGCACAGGACCCCACACTATAAACGACCCTGCTTCCAGGAGCAGGGTCGTGATGCCTCCCACACAGGTCACAGCCACGGAGACGTGTCTCAGGGGCTGTGAAGACTCAAAGTAGACTCTGTGATTTGAATCACGTTGTTTTAAAAAAACAAAACCAAACTGCCGAAAATGAATAAATAAATAAATAAAAGTTCTGCGGGTGAACCACAAAGAATTTAAATGCAAGCCTAAGTATAAAGACTATCTGCGTGTGTTTTCACCGCTAAATATTCCAGTGTTGACTGTTTCCCCCTTTTGACTACGGGAAGGCGAGGGCACCAAGCCCGCCAGACCTAAGGCTGGGTTAAGGCAAAGTTCCAAACCCGTGCTGAGGGCAGGAGTGTGTGCACACGTCGAAGCTCACTCTGTGGCCCAGGTGTGTGGCAACACATCTGGAACCCACTCTCTCACTCACATTTTGGGATCCCCATGAGGGGTGCCAGTGGGAGAGGAGGGCCTAAGGGGCCGGCAGGTGGGAGGCCCAGCCCAGAAGTGGGACTCTAACGCCACATAGCTACGTGCCTTTGTCCGGGCTAACTGTGGTACAGAGCATCAAAGAGGGTTGGGAATGATTCTGAGGGACACTTTCTAGGCCCATCTCAATGTCTCCTCTTTAACGACACCCTTCCCTATTTATCTGACTCCCCAACAACCTGCTCCCACCTCCTTGCTCCAGTCAGCGTTCTCTCCCGCACCCCTGAGCCCACAGAGCACTTCAGATCCTTCTGTGGCACGTGCTCTCTTCTGCCTGTTTCCTGACCATTGCTGTCCCTCCCAAGACTAATTCCTTGAGGTCAGAGGGCTGTGAGGGGCATCCTTCTATGCCCCGAGGCACTGGGGTGGAGCTCCTCCAGGAGCTGCACTGCCCTTCAATTCTGAATCTGTAATCTTAAAAACCGGGTTAAACCGAAGCTGTCTCCCTGCAGCTCAGTGACACTGGAGGGCTGGGAGCACAGACAGCCTGTATAAGAGCCTTGGCTCCACCACCCACTAACCATGTGACTGTGGGCTTCCTATTTAATGCTCTGTGCCTCGGTTTCTGTGTCTTTAAAGTGGGTGTAATAATAGTGCCAGCCCTGGCCAGTTTGGCTCAGCGGTAGAACATCAGCCCACAGACCAATGAGTTGCAGGTTCGATTCCAGTCCAGGGCACATATCTCGGTTGCAGTTCGTCCCCAGCCCTGGTCGGGGTCATGAGGGAGGTAACCAGTCGATGTGTTCCCTCTTACGTTGATGTTTCTCTCCCTTTCCCTTTCTCTCCCTCCCACTCTACCTAAAGATAAATAGGAAAATATCCTTGGGTGAGGATTAAAAGAAAAAAAATTCAATAAATATATTTTAATAAAAAAAATAAATAACAGTGCCAGCCTGGATGCGCAGCTGGGGTGTAAGGGGAAGGTTTAAATGAGCTATGATGGATACATGGTTAGAACAGCGCCTGGCAGTGGTTAAGTCTTCAATAACCATTAGCTTTGATGACTCTTTGACAACTGAAGTGATTGTCATCAGGTTACGGTTGCTTAAATCCCAAAATGTTACAGTATAACCCCCTCAAATATCACCTCTCATGACTGCCAGTGGGAAAAGAACCCTAAAAGAAAAAATAAAGAAAGCTACATAGTTAGAGTGTGTAAAACTATTGCTAAACTCGGCCCCTGGCTTCCACCTTCAAACCCATCATCCTGCCCCCTCCCTCTCCAGGACCCACTCAAAGGAGCCCGGCTGCAGCCACACCCTCCCCTGGGAACCCAGTCATAGCCCAAGGGCAGGCAGGATACCCACGTGTGGCCCGTGGGGGCCTTGCTGTGCACATGTCGGGAATTTTCACAGTGTAATCTCCATAGGCAGCCAGCAAACCAGGGACAGACCCCTCGGAGAAGACACTCTTCTCTAAAAACAGTAATTTTTGCCATGGTCGGTTTGGCTCAGCAGTTGGAGTGGTCAGTCCAAGGACCAAAGGGTTGTGGGTTTGATTCCTGGTAAAGGGCATGCCATACCTGGGTTGCAGGTTCGATCCGCAGCCCCAGTCGGGGTTGTGCGAGAGGCAACCAATAGCTGTGTCTCACATCTATGTTTCTCTCTTTCTCTCTCTTTCCCTTCCCCTCTCTCCCTCCTGCCCTTCCACGCTATCTAAAAAATGAAAAAAGAAAAAAAAAAATCAATGGAAAAATATCCTCGGGTGAGGATGAACAAATGAACAAACCAAGAAAGAACAGTGATTTTCTTTGGGAGGCCCAATTCAAGTTGGACTGTTGGGTAATTGCTGCTCCCTTCCTTCCTGGGCAGCGGGCCCAGCCCTTCCCCCACCCCTCCCTCCGGCTCACTTTGGGGGCAGGCCCTCTTGTCCAGTCCCCTTCCCCCCATCACAGACAGATGAAAAAAAAATGTTTTTTTCTGGCAAAGGTTTCTAAATCATGAGCTCCCAGAGTAACAACCTGACACAGCTTCCACGGGGAGCTCTAAGCAGGAAGAAGTAAATGCACGGAGAAGTAAGGCCACCGCTGCCGTGCCCTTGGGGACTGCCTGTCACCCCAGCCCTGACTCCTGTTACAAAGACTTGAGGCTCCTCCATGACTGACACCCAGCTGCAGCAATGGTTCAGTGGGTAGGGGAATGTAGCTTCCTTACTGGAAAATGGAAATTCACTGTATACCAGGACATTTAATTGACGAGAGAATACAGTTGATCCCTGTTTTTTGCAGGATCCATATCTGCGAATTCGCCTACTTGCTGAAGGTTATTTGTAAACCTTCTAATCAACACTTGGAGCGTTTTCTCAGTCACGGGCAGATTTGAGCTGCCGGATGAAGTTGATCAAGACAACACTCTGTCTTCTATTTCAGCTCTCATAACTGTAAACAATGTCTTTTCTGTGGCCTGTTTAATGCCCCCCTCCCCCATTTTGTGCTATTTATAATGGCCCCCAAACACAGAGACAAAGTTCTGTCCAGTGTTAAGCACAGAGGCTGTGATGTGTCTTACAGAGAACATATGTGTGTTAGATAAGCTTCATTCAGGTGTGATTTGTAGTGCTGTGGGCCATGAGTTCAATGTTAATGAATCAACACTATATATTAAAGAAGGTGCCTTTAAACAAAAACAACATATAACAGGGTTATGCATAGATCTGAAGTAAAAAATGTGATCAGAAGCTCCTAACCCTGTATTTTCTCCAGGACTAATGGCTCAGTGTTTGCC